TGGGTCTAAGAGAGAAAATTCTTGAATAAAATTGGAAAAGAGATGCATGCTTCTTGTCTGCCTTCTCCCATTAGATTTCTCTAAGGCAAACCTGGTCACATTGAAATCCCCAGCAACACACCAAGGAAGGTGTCCATAAGTTCCTATCATCCCTAACTCTTCCCATAACTGCGGTTTCAATCTAGAGTTATTTGGACCATAGGTCCCTATGAAAATCCAAGTGAAGCCATCTGCTAAATTGGAGAAAAGGATCGAGATTGAGAACTGTCCTCGATCGACCTCTACTCCTAACATGACAGTTTCATTCCAGATGATAAGGAGACCTCCTGAAGTTCCTGTGGCTGCAAGCCGAACCCAATTTTTATTTCTGGCATCCCAAATTGCCTTTATCAGCCTCCTATCAATTGTTTCTTTCTTAGTTTCTTGAATTATGACTAAGTCTGGATTTTCCTGGGTGAGAGTCTCCTTCACTAAATTTCTTTTCTGACCCCCTCCTCTTGAAGACATTCTTAGGTTTCTTCACTTTCTTAATTGGTCCAACCCCAAATAAACCATTTTCAATCTCTCAAAAACTTTAGACACCAAAACATCTTGACACTTTCTTTGACTTCTGAAATGTCTTACAGCAAGTGGTATCTTCTTTAGCTCCTCCAAATCCAAAGAACTCTCGTTAATTCTCTCTAACTCCAACACCATGTTCTTCTGGAAAAGCTGATCTATGGCCAAATTTTCACGCTTTTCATCTGCTGCCCCTTCAAGACCAACAAACCTTGTTCTATCAAGAACCTCTTCAACACTTAGATTAAAATCATCATGGCCAACAACCAGATTTTAATTCTTCCGACCCTTTTCCTCCAATTCTTTAAAAACCTTCCTAGCAAACTCTTCTTCTCTGAGGAAGAACAAACCCAATGTTTTATCCACCACCTCCTCAATGTCAATTACTTTCAATGATACAAATCTTATCAAGAATCTCCTTTGATCCTCCCCATTCTCAATCTCAATCTCACCATTTCCATCATCAAAAGGAGGCATAGTCCCATTTTTTTTTATCTTCCTCTCAAAAACATTAACCACCCCTGCACCAACATAACTACATTTCCTTTCTCTCTCCCCTCATCACCTCTAACAACCTCGTATTCCCCAGTATCCATCTGCTTTCAAGCACCTCTAGAACAATTTTCCCCATCAAACACTATCACCTGACTTGGGCAAACCCTGACTCAATGCCAAACACATCATCTACCACACCCCTTCCTCTCCTTAAACTTTTGTTAACC